GTCAGGCAGCAGCCCCCATTGAGACCCCAGAGACCTCAGAGAGTCGAAACCAAAGCGAAGTCAGGGCATGACTGGAAGCAAACACACACACAATCAAAAGAGAGTCTCAGCAGAGAAAAAAGAGTCAGACCGAAAGTCAAATGCCAAGCAGCAGATCATGCCGGGGTCTGGGGTCTTTTGGGTTGCTCTCTGTGTGCTGTGCTGCTCGGACCCAGTTGCGGCAGCGAACGTCGCTCGTGGTGTGTTATCAAAGCTGATGATGATTATACCCACTTGCACGCCTTTTTTCTGTGCCCCTACAGGAAGCCGATTCCGTAGTGGCAGTGTCAGTGCCAGTGCCAGTGCCAGTGCCCAAACCCAGGGCCCCGACCTAAAGCTTGGCTTGGGCTTTAGCTGCAATTGGCTACTCGTCGCCATCGTCGTTGTCCGACGTCTTGTTGCATGCATTATTATTATGCGCATGCGCGCGGTTGGCCATATAATCTAAAATTGTATCTTTGGCGTGTAACCCGGGGCACTTCTTCTTCTTCAGCTCCTGCAGCAGCTTCTCCTTGGCTGCCTTCTGCTGCTTCTGCTGTTTCTGTTTCTGTTGTTTGGTGGGGTCCGGGGAGCAGCCAGACCAACAAAGCTACAAAATAAACTGATTATGTGCCTACCGCTCTCTCGGGCCGCGAAATTAACAGGCCGCATCTCTTCGAGAGCCTTGGCTGCAGGGGTCCTCTCATACTCCACTCTCTGAGTGTGTGTTTGCCGTCCGTTCCGAGTGGAGCTCCCTTGTGGCCTTCTTTTGTTTCTATGCCGGACGAGCGGGTCACATAAAATTTGCTAATATTTTGACCTTAAGATACAATATCTTTTGCCGGTACGTAGCCATTGTGCACAGTGGGCAAAGGAAGCTGAATAAATGGGCAAATATTATGCATAACATTCATATTTGTATATCTGCAAATTATTCCCAGTATGCTTTTACTTCAAATTTCTTATTTATCGTTGCACTTATCACCCATTTTGACCCACTGTCTGGCCAGCGGCAGTAGCTGTGAAATAAAAATAAAACTTATTTATTACATCAGGCCAGAGAGCCGTGAGAGAGCTCAACTTCATTACACGGCCTCGGGGCGCCTTTTCAATAATTTATTAAATTATTTAAATAATAAGCGGGCTGTTGAAACAGCCGAGTGATTGATATAGAATACAAGTTTCTCTGTAACAGATGGCAGGAAGGTTTACAAAATCAATCAAAAGACTTGCACAGACTGGCCATTGCCAAACACTTTCAATGGAAAGTGTGCAGACAGAGCATTGGAGGAGTTGGCTCAACGGATGTTACCCTTCTAACTATCTTCTAAGACAGATGATAGTCGCGGAGAGGCTGACTGGCTGACTGGCTGGCTGGCATGCCAATCAAATGCTACCACAGATTGCAGCAGATTCCAGATGCCAGAATACAGATTCCAGAATACAAAGTCAAGAATCAAGAAGGGGCGAGGCCACCTAGTAGTAGTAGTTTTTTTTGTGGAGAGCATCGAATGCGTAACAAGATCAAACCACAGCCACCGCACTCGGGGGAAACGATACGAGGCCCCGCTCATCGGACATTTGGACATTTGGACAGTGGGACAGTCGGACGTCAGAGGATGTTTGGCATTAAGCGTAATTGTTGGGTTGAATGCTGGGCCTGAATAAAAAAGAGAAGAGAAATATCATTAAATACTCGTACCAAAATCAAAGCCAAAGACACAAGTGAAGTGTAGCCCCGCAATGGCGATGGGCAAGCAAGTCAACTTTTCGATACCCCTTTTGACAGAGTAGCTTAGGCTGGGAATGAACATGGGTTCCTGGTCTTTTGCTACGGATTAATATGAGAATATGGAAAGGGTAGCAGTTTCTTTTATCAGTAATATTTTGGAATATTTTCTATGTATTTTTATGCTGGATTATATTTATTTCAATTTATTGATTAGAATTATTATTGCATATCCAGAAATTCGATTTGCCACTCATTACAGGCTATGCCACAGTCGACTATTCCTTAGCTTTGCGATTATTTGTTGTTATTTTAGGTGGGCAGCCACCAATACGAGCAAACCGAGCCAAAGGTTGTTGATGGGCAACTGGAACTTGGTACTTGCCACTGCCACTGCCACTGCCGGCAATCAGGTCCAAGTCAGTCTCTTTCTTTGAGCTTGCTTTTGGCCAGCTTCCCGGCTGAAGCTGAGGCTGAAGCTGGGGCCAGAGCAAAAGCCAGACCCGACCCGACCAGGCCATGCCAGCCAGCCAGACATGAAGAATTACAATGAGTAGGTAGTTGGGCGCAATTGACGGCGGCTCAGCATCAGCCTGAGTCTCAGTCTCTGTCTCTGTCTTCGAGAACAGCTTCAACCTCTGCAAAGTTGGCAGCAGGTCGGCCCACGTTCTACGCTCAACGTTCAACTCGGGCTCCCGGGCATAGGTAGCACAAAAAGCTGTTCAATTTAGAATTCAAATTGTTGTCTTCGCCACTCGTCTGCCCCTCCCAGTCAGCCAGCCAGCCAGCCAGCTGTCCCTCCCCTGGTCTGGTTGGACTGTGTGTTGGCCTGTTGGCTGGCTGACTGGCTGACTGGCTGGCTGTAGGGTTAAGCAGGTCAAAATCCGTACAACTAAATTGAGCCCCAGAAATACAATTGGGAGAGGAGCCGCAGCCGCAGCCGCAGCCGCAGCCAAAGCAAAGAAGGGGTCCCCTCTCTCTCCACTGGGTAGAATTCATTTTTCAGTTGTGTCGAGCGCAGGGTCTTCGGTCTTCAAATTAAAATGTATTTCGGGGGAGAACGGAGAACTCGGGAGTCCAAGCGAGTGACCAGAAGCAGCCAGAAGCACTTTTGTAGCTGCTTATTAGTGTGATGTGTCTTTTGGGTTAAGATTCGGGTTTCAGCACAGAGCAGAAGGATGAGAGGACCTGGCACGTTTCACATTTGACGCGCCATGCGGCTGACCCTGCTATTAATTTATTTTGCACACAAAACAAAACATTCCACAACTTAAAGATTATCCCCCAAATGGTTGTTCTTTTCTTTCAATTTGAATCCAATCCACTTATATGCATATTAGAGATGGCAGTGGGCCAACTCCTATCGTTTGCATTCGAAGTTCTTCACAATAATTTGGGTGTTTCAATTGGAATTGAAAGAGTTGAGGGTTATTTTGTGGCATTCTGAATATAAGAAATGACATAGGAAAATCGTAGATATAATTTTCCTACCATTACTACTTCTTAATACCCTTTTTAAGCATCCATTCCTTGCCTGAGTTTGCGATAGTTGATCTCTATCATCTTTAAGATCAGTTTTTGTTTCGTGGTATATTTTAAGCCAAACGAGTATCAATTTTATATGGCTATTTTATGATGGAAACCCACTTGAATTCTATGTAAATATTGCGCAACAAAATAACTTTATTGGGCCTAAACTTTATAGCTCTATTAAAGCCACCACCAAATGAAAAGAAAGAAAGACTCGACCGGAGTTTTAAAGTCGTATAAAAAAGAAGCCACAAATATTTACGAGTTCTTTGGCTCTGTGGACGTGGACGTGGACGTCTTTTAACAAACATTTGACGAATCTTTTGGCTTGCGGGTGCCTGCTCGGTATTGGTATGCAAATCCCAGTCGAACCCACGTGGATATTTAACCATCTGTGATCTGTCCCATGGTCAACTCAGGTCACCGTGCATAAAAACTTGAACTATAAAGTTTAATTAGATTGAAAGTCTGGGCGTAGCTCAAAGATAAGCATCTCACGTGCCGGCACCAGACTCTAACTTGATTGAAAATATTTTGGCAGTGGTTACGGATTGCAGATTCCAGTAGGTGGGGGCATGGATTGGATTATTGGATTTATGCTAATTTACAATCATCCAAAAATTGTGTGTCTTTTTGTGTGTGTGCCATCAAAGCAACATCGATTCGCGTCTCCTTTTGCATTAATTAATATTTCTTTTTTGGGTCTAGAAGAAACCACACCGATCATCATTGCTGCTCGGCTCCTCTAATGCTGCTGATGCTGGCCCCGTTTCTTTCTTCGAGTCTTTTGTTTGATGCAACAAAATGATTTGCATATTTCCATATTTTTTTCCTGCTCGTTTTTTTTTTTGCTGGCATGGCCTTTCCGTTGCCTGCTTTTTGTGTGTGTGTGTGTGTTTTGTGCAGTCTTAAATTGCCTGCGTTGCCAGGGACTGGGACTGGGGCCGGGACCTGAGACTTGCAGTCCAATTACATTGCGTGTAGACCTCTCTAGACCGGCTCTGACTCTTTTGCGAAAGGAGTTCAAAGTCAAGAGCCGAGCTTTGGCTAAGAGACTCACAATTCAAATCTGTTTTTGGCCCGTATTGTTATGGCCAGTCTTTTTGCCTTTATTTTGTTCCTGCCTCCCCCCCCTCTCCTTTACTAGTTAATGCAAACTTCTTGTTGCCGTTTGCCAGCCTGCTGCTGCTGCTGCTGGTCAGTTGTTGCTATTGTTGGCTCTGTCAATTATTGGCACAGAATTTAGAATGCAATGCTCGGCCGGCCCAATGCACTTGGCCTTAGCCACGGCCATAACCACAGAGGCACCCAAATCAAAGCCCGGTCTTGCCCCCTCGCCGCAGAATTATGACAGAGCCAAAGAGAGCTCGCTGGCCTGGCCATTGGAGTAAAAGCCACCAATTTCCGGTTAGAAGTTTGTCTTTTTTTTTCCTCATATATATATTTTTTATCTGGCTGCAGTTCTTCCTACTCTGCGGCTGTTTTTCTTTTTTTGTGGGAATGTTGTGGTGATAGTAGGGAAGTAAATTGATAATTAAATTACCAGAGAAATGTAAGAAATGGCTGACTGAAATAAGTTGAATTTCTTAGAATCAAAGATATCAAATTACATAGATAAGACATCACGTTCATTCTGAAAAACCCATCGCCTTCCACTGTAACAAATTGCTTTGACAAAAGCGATCGTAAATTCGTAGATTCTTCTGCATATTTAAATATGAACGAGAGTTCCACAATGAAAAGACCATAGAAAAAGCTAATCTTATATTTATTGAGCATTTGTTTGGATTGCCTAATTAATTTTGCGATTTTTGATTGAGTACCAGCTCTCTTGTCCTTAAGCCTAGCATCCTGTTTTGGTGCTACACGTTGCCCAGCGGCTGACCATTTTCGATGATTCGATCCTTTTCAAAGTCCTTGTAGATGTCAGCGCGACGTCCCAGCTCAGCCAGCACTGCCACCTTGTTGCGTGTAAATTCCTCATCTTTCACCTTGCGGTACCTAATTTTTTGTTCCTTAGCAATCTCCATGAGCCTGGCATCGACTGTGGGCGCCCAGGGACGTCGTGTGGTGACGAGATTTTCATACATGGCCGTATTGTTGATGGCAAACGGACTTGGCTTGATGAAGATGGCCATGTAGCCAGGCCGCTTGACGTCCCTATCCACAGGAAAGACACTGGAAAGGAAATCACTGCAAATCCTGCCCGAAAAGTCATGTATCTGCTCTTACCAGAAATACTGGGATGTGGGTCGCCAACTATTGAAGCCCCACCAGCCACCGATCACGTGGAAGGGACACGAGCGATTCCGGCCCGAAAACGTTGTAATCACATCGCCCACGGAGACGAAGAGGAGATCTGTGGTATTCGCAGCCACCAGCTGGGCCTTGCGCAGCATAAAAAGATCGTTGAAGCCCGAAATGACGACATCGTCATACAAGTTGTAGACCAGCTGATCGTTGTTGTCCTGCCCAATGATCAGCATGGCTATCCGCATGGAGTTCATAATGTGGGCCAGGGCCATGAAGTTGATGTTCATATCCTTGTAGTCCTCGGTGATGTAACCGAAAAACCAGTGCCGCATGTGCACCCTGGTAGGCAGCTCAATGCGTGTCATCAGGTGCCAGGGACCACCCCAGCTGTTGTTGAACTCACAGAACACCTTGCTGGGCAGGCCCCGATCTCTTTCGAGGCTAATGCCAAACAGCTCGTGCAGATCCATTTCCTCGTGACACTTGGCCCCGGGATACTGAAAGAATTCCGGCGGATGGGGCGTAACGGTTTTCCATTTTGTGATCTCTTTCGAAGCGCCATCCGTTATGTCTGTCGTTTCATCTGCCGTTGTTGTTGTTGTTTCTATGGGTTGCTTTGGTGCTGTTGTTGTTTCTTTTGGTTCCCCTGGCATTTCGGTGGCTGTCTCGTTCTTGCCTGCTCGTTCGTCAGATGCTTCTATGATATTGATTAGTACACTTTCGGGTATTGGTTCAGTGGTTACTTCTTGGGCTTTCTCTGTACCTTTTTCCACTTGTCTTTTTACATTATTCTCTGGGATGTCTACTTTGCCAACCACGTCCAATTCTTTTTGGTTTCCTTGTGTGGTGGGTTTCTCTGTGGTGTGTTTCTTAGTGGTCTGATTCTTTGTCGTGTGTTTCTTTGTGGTTTTTTCCTTTGGGACTTTTCCTTCGGTGACTACTTCTGGGGGTTCCTCTTTGGCATCTAAGTTGTAAACTGTTGTTGTTGTCTCCGCGTGGGCCTCCTTAGTGGTCCTAATCGTCGGCATCTTCGTTTTCTTTTTGTTGGGTTTAATCACAAAAACTTGAGCCACCTCATCCGTGTTTGATGCTGACTGATGAGATTCGAGGCTTTCCTTCGATGCCCAACTCTCAACCGAGATCTTCTCCATGTGTGCATGATCTATTGAACTGATCTCCAAAATCTCATCGTCAATGTCCACCCACTTTGAATGGTTTCTTCGATCGCTGGTCATTTGAACTCGCTCACGGCTCATATATCCATTGTTATTGAAGATAAAATTCATGTAGTAGGTCTGGCTAAGGACAATCCATGGCAGGCTAGTTGTCCACAAACATCGTCTCAGCATTGCGACGACATTCACTTGGGTCACGCCCAGGGTGAAAGTCCATGGAACCCATTTGGGTTCACTTTATAACCTCGCCTGGTTGCCATGTGACGAATTCTATTATCTATTGCCAATTGTGATATCAAGCTTTAGTTCAATTTCAATGAAGCGGCAATTAATTGTCATGCGATTCGTTAGAGTCGAGCTCCGGTTTGCTAGAGTTCATAGTTCATTTGTCCATCGACACATTATTCGGTTGTTTAGCAGGGGCGAAAAATATTTAATTTACAATTATAATTAAAAACATTACAAAATAAATCATTGAATATTATTTTCTGATGTGTCTTTTCCTCCCACCAGTAAATCAGATCAAATAAACCAACAAAATTCACTGATAGTGGCCAAATAATTGCAGAACAATATTCTATGGTGTTATTCTCGGGCTTTCTCTTTGCCAGCAATCACTTGTGCGTGCTGAGTCCAGTTTTAATAGGAGTCGATGGGAGCAAGGACATGCTACTTCGGCGACCAGAGATCTGTTTTCATACCGTTTCAAGTCTAACTGATTTCTTGTCAGGTTTCTTCCAAAGATTCCTTGGAGAAAGATTCTATCCCACAATTGAACCGCATCCGTAACTATGAAATTTCCTTTTCTATATTTAACATTTTATTGACATATAGTTAATGAATTCATGTGAAGAGGCTTCTTCCACCACCGAAACTACACAGCCGGGTTATACTGCCAAAAGAGAAACGTAAACAGGAAACGTTAATCGATCAATTCTGGCTGGACTGGCACTGACAAGGGACCTACGCTCAGTTATCCCCGTTGTATTCCTCGTAGTCACTGTCCCCGTACGTTCTTGCTTTGGCCCTGTTGGATGGTGCCCGTGCAGCCGGCTTATCTCCTCCCTGACTGGCAGAACTGTCAGCTTTGACCCCACTGCCGGAGCCGCCCTTGCTGCCGGAGTGGCCGTGACTTTCGCTGCTCTCGTAGATGGAGCGTATGTAGCGTCCGCCGAAGCTGTCATCGATGCTGATCTCGTAGCTGCTATGATGGCTGTGTTCTCCAGGTGCATTGCCGCCTCCCGGCTCATTTGTTTTGGCCGTCCTCAGACGACGATCGCTTGGGTCCTTGCTGTCGCTGTCGTCGTCATCACCCACGTCGCCGGGAACGCCCACATCATTGTCGCCATTACCATTGGCACCGCCATCCCCTTGGTCACCGCCGCTGCCTCCATCAGTTCCTGCACCTCCATTATCACCTCCATCATTGCCTCCATCATTTCCTCCATCATTGCCTCCATTATTTCCTCCGCCATCATGATCGCCGCCGTGATCCCCTTGGGCTTCTTCATTCTGATCTCCGTTATTATCGTCTCCATCAGCTTTATGATAGCTGAGGTTATCGTTGTCACGGTCAGCCTCATCCCCGTTCCCACCATTATCTTTGAAATTTTGTGGGGCCGTCTTCTCAGCCCCTCCGCCGCCCTCGCCACTGATGGCTCCATCGGGATTGTTGTTGTTGAAGGCAAAGTTCATGTAGTACTTCTGCCCGAGGACGCTGCGCCCCTGCAGCTGGACGAGGGTCAGCAGGACCAGTGTGAGTAGCCGTATCCTCCACATCGCTGCTACGATCCCAAGCTTTGGAGCAGCGCCCTGGTTGCCTCTCTTATATATAGATGATGAGGTCCGTTTAGTGCGGCGAATGGTTCGAATCGCAGCAATCGATTTGGATGTGGAGCAGCCCATAAAGAGCTCGCCCGATAAAGGCGTGTCCAACATGGAGCACGGGCAGTGGCATCGGGCATCAGCTCGATGGCCAAACAGTGGCAGTTGTTAGTTGCTGGCCAGCAGAAGAAGTTGCAACCGTTGCACCAGTAGCAGCAGTAGGAACTGCAACATCAGCAGCTGGCTCTGAAACAGGTTGCCCCGTCGAAGGAGCGCGGCATGGAATTCAATCAGGGCCAATCTATAATAGAAATCTCATGTGGCGCGAGCTTCGTTTTGCCCCAAAGGGGACTTCGCTTTAGACCAGAGCTGTGGGGGGGGCGTGGCAGGGTGGTGCGGTGCCTGTCTGCCCGTCTGCCTGTCTGCCTGCCGCCGCTCTCTGCGCCCACTTTCAATCGATCGTGCGTTGCAAATATGAAAATGCTACTGCAGCCAGACAGCGAACAGCGTACGGCAGAGCAGGAGCCACAGTCAAGTCAGGCAGCTTGGGCTAAAATCGTTTTTCATTAACAATTTTAAAAGCGGCACATTAATCAGAGGCACACACAGGCAGAGCTACGCAGCTGTGGGATGCCCTGTGCCAACGAGGCTTCCCCGGCTAGAAATTCTACTGTGGTTCTAACTCTGCCACGGATATGAATGTGGAAGTTTAATGGACTGGACCACATGGCTTCCCCACATTCAATTGTATTGGCAGGGAAATTATTTTCTTATATCTTGTATATTTTATGTTGAATGTACCACTGTGCGGACGCGATGATGGCGCACATAAATCTACTCTTACACACACACACACACATACACACACACACACACGCTTGCGCACAGCACAACTAATAATTCTCTCTTTCCTCTCTCGCGTTCTCTTTGCAGTCGTTCCGTGATCAGTCCATCGATGGCACCGGCCTGCCGCTCTTAACCGAAGATCATTTGGTTAACTCGCTGGGCATGAAGCTGGGGCCGGCACTCAAGTTGCGCTCCATATTGGCGAGGAAATTGGGCGGGCCGTGTCCGTGTGTTGCATGCGTTGCGCAGGCGCAACAAATGTTGGCCTTGCAAACGGGCGGAACACCGCCAGCAGGGGCTGCAGCAGGGACAGGGACAGGGGCAGTCACAGTCACTGCCACCCCAACTAGTTGCAGCATCATCAAAACGGAGATCTTTAATGGGAGCAGCAGCAGCAGCAGCAGCAGCAACAGCAACAGCAGTAGCCAGAGCAATGCCACATGTTGCATGAACGATGCCAGCTAGTTATGTAGCTGCCAACCCAGCTAAATATTTATGCTAACTAATTGCATTTCAACTGCAAAAATTGTTGTATTGTACCAAATGAGCTTTCAAGAAAACAAAACAAAACAAAACAAAACAAAATCAAGAAAGAAATGGCGAAGGAAACGCCTATTGTATAACTGTATAAATTAAATGTGTAATCTAATTGCTAGTAGCTAAAGTTGTAAACTTTAAGTGACAACAACTAAAACAACAACGATCGCAAAGTCTTCCATTTGCCCACACACACATACAGACATAGGCAGACACAAATCATCTTTGTATAGAGTTAATCAATTGATTAGTCAATTTAATGAGAAGAGTTTTCGTTTACGTACTTAAGTGCAGAGCGCCCTCGCTTTGCATTGGATTTTATTTATTTTCTATGACTTTTATTTTAACTGCTAGTCAGTAATACACATAACATTTAAATACGTAGAATTCCGCAAAATGAGTAACTTAACAACTTAAAGAATTCAATATAATATTGTTTAGCAAAACGAAAGTAAAAGGCTATTTATTTTAAATATTTTAATTGCAATACGGCATCAATTGTTACACCCCCCAAAAACTCTTTAATTTTCCAGATGTATCCTTATTTTTTTTTATATTTATCTACATTTATTTTCTGCGGCCATGCACAGAGGAATTCAAAATTCAACTTTACGAACTGTAAATCATTTTTTAAGAGCTCCAAGACTTGAAGAAACACACTCACACACACACACCCACACACACACACACACACACCCACACACACACACAAGAAAGAAGCAAAAACAAATACCTATTTTATAGTTTCTGTGTACATATTGTTTTATTTAATTATTTATAAGTTAAATAGTGAGAAACATTTTCTAACACATAGGCCGTATGCAACGAACTTAAACAAAAAGAAAGAGAAAAAGAAAAAGAAAAAGAAAGAGAAACAGAAACAGAATGCAGACCTTCTGCAAACTAGGAAAGAGAATAAATTTGATTTATTATTTACATTTAATGAAATATAGCTATTTTTCACAAGCTAAAGCAAATAAATTATACCAGTTATCATACAACACACATTAAACAATGGAACGAACATGAAATACCCTTTGCTCAGACTCTGAGATCTGAAGAAGTTCCTTCTGAACCTTCTGAATTTTGAGAAATGTAAAATATACCCGTACCTACCCTATGGGGGGGTAGTCTTGGTAAAAATAATAAAACTGCACTTCTGACTGCAGTCTCTGAGGCGTTATGGGCACGCGGCTGACCTCCGGAGCGCTCTCTGCGCCGCGGGTCGAGCGTAACCGTTGCGCCAAAAGGCAACCAAGGATGGCTGCAAAACAATTAAAAGCACGCAGCGCACCTCCAGCGTCTAATTACAAATTGGAGTCATTGAATTTATTAAAATCGGCCCCGCGTAAATTGCGCAGCAATGCACTTGAGACACGCGAACTGATATTGTGGGCCATCGGATCGGCGCTCCTTGGTTCTCATTACTCGGTCATAATTCACTGCGCCTGCCCGGTTCAAGTATCCCTAACAGACCATCCCTGCTGACAACCAACCAGGTTACTATGGTCCTCAGCAATAATTGTTTGCTTAGGTATTATTTATCAGAAAGACAGGAAAATATCTTGCCCAAAGAGGTTGGCTTGCAACTGCATGTTAATTAGAGCCAATTCCAATACGTATAACTTTGGTGTGCCGAAACTTGAGGGATAACGAAATCCAATTGTGTACAGTCAATTTGGATAGTAAATTCCTACGACATCAACTTTACACATTTTTTTAAGCTATCGACATTTTTCCAACTTCTCTGATTTCATTTTGAGTGAAATTGAGTGAAATATTGAGTGAAAACATGCATTTGAGCAATTCATTCAAATGCCTATTTTATATGATTTATTTTTAAATTAGATGTTCTAACTACATCTACATCTTCAGTCCAAATGTATTTTGTAATTCTACAATTACCATACAGATACTTTCTGATCTTCAATTAGCCCAAGAGTATATTTTCGGGTGTGTATCTCTAAGATTCTTCCACGTTTTCCGATCAGCCTAAAAGTATATTTCAGTGAAGCGATTTCGATTTGGAAGTGTTATGGAGTAGCTGGGAAGAGTCTTTTATTCCATGTCCATTCCATACTTATGTTGTACATATGTAAGTACGTCATTGGTTAGTCGTGTGGTCTATTACTTTCGAGGTGACAGTCAAATACGTTTTATCGTTTTCAGTCATCTGAAAGATATTAAAAAAAAAACACCAATTGAGACAACGGGGATGTGTTTTGGCTTTTCGTGTTTGGCTTACCTCGTCTATTGATGCACGAGATGATGGGGAGATCCGTATTTTCAATGGAGCTTGAACTGAGAGATCTCTCACTGATTTCAGTATATCCACGGAATTTTTAAGGAAGCTTTTGCACATGCTGCAGAGTGTGCTTTCCAAATTGATATACTCTAGTTTTCGACATCCACGGAAGATTTCAAGGAGATGTCCGGAAATAGTATCAAATGTATGTTCGGAAGTGATGTATATGCTCTCAAGATTAGTCATGTTTGCCAAGACGGAGAGGCTTTCTTCATCTTTGAAGCCACACACTAGACTTGTGATTGAATCAACCTGCACAAGATGGCGAGCCTCTTCAAGGCCAATGAAAGATCTCCCTAAATCCAAATTCTTTAATTTGCTCGAAGCCTTCAATGAAAGTGCACCGAAAAGACCTTCTAGAGTACCCCTTTCGGGGGTAGAGGATATTGTCAACGTTTCGAGATGCAAAGACTCGGCCAATCCCTCCATGCCCTGGGTATCTTTGATTGGGAGCTCCAAGGACTTTAGTTTCGGAATTTGAGAAACAATGTCCAATGCCTTGACTGGTTCTTGATCGGCTGCCGGACCTTTGATTTTCAAATTCTGTATCTTTGATTCGCCAAGAGATCCAAAAGCAGTGAGCAAATCTGTCAGAGATGTTTTATCTTTCCCAGTTGTTATGACCAGTTCATTGATGCAGGATCGCTTTGACAAGACATCAAGACCCTATGTACAGCAGAACGCACACTGGAGCCGCTTCAAAGAACTTATAGCTGACACTGCCTTCACCTCTTCGGGGGTCAGACCTTCGCCCCATACATCCAAGTGTTCTAGTGTGTGGCACTCCCTGTCGGCCAGCTTTGCAAGAAGATTCTGAAGGGAGCCCTTTTCATGGGTGACAACAATCAGCTCTGCCAGCTGTGGAAGTTGTGCCAGCTGTTCCAAGTTTTTTGCACAGGATAACCTGCAAATCAGTTTTCGGAGAGACCTCATTCTACAGACTTCCCTCAGTTCATTATTGCTCATTTCGTAATAGCCCGCATCCAGTTCCTGCAAAGTATCGGCTTGCCACGTGGCCAACTGCCCAAAGAAACTATGCATGGAGCCCTTTTCGAAGGGTCCCTCAATTGATACATGCCCAAAGAAACTATGCATGGAGCCCTCTTCGAAGGGTCCCTCAATTGATACATGCCGCAAATTCGGCAGCCTAGCAAGAGGGTTTAGGTCCGTGTCGTTCCCTTGGTCATCCCTTAAAATTCGAATATACAAAAAGCCAGTGCTCTTGTAAAAATCGATGTTTCTGCGGAATGGGATACAAGTTTTGCGATTGAACTAAAAAAGTAACAAGTCAATTACATACCTTAAAATTATACCTCTTTGCTTGACATTGAAATCGCTTAAATGGAGGAAGTGCTGGAAGCTTCGTGAATCGCTGAATTTGCCTTTGAAGCTCGTCAATGAAGTAATTTTTGCCAACTCTGTAGTCTCATCAAAGTCGAGCGGGCTGTTCATATCCAGACTCTGTAGCTCGTGATTATTTCTCCTTCCTAGAGCGGCGAAGAATTCTCTTAATGAGACAGTTTCATGGTGTCCTTTGATTATCATATGCTGTACGGATTCAAGGCGGGCAAGAGGTTCCATTGCAAAGTTTTCATTTTCAAATAAACTCATTTCTACGCGAAGTTCTGTCTTTTTCATCAAATCTTTGTTTTCCCGATTGAACCATACGCTTCCGCTGTTGATCTGTATGTGAATATAATCTTGAGAGGCCTCCAAAATTGCGCATATATCAGGCGATGTTGTGTTGACAGCGCCGGAACTTGTCTGCTTGTGTTCGATGTAGATGTTAATTCTAGTTAACTTTTTGCAGGTCTTTATTACTGTAAGGAGCCCAGGCGATATCTTGTCGAACGTTTCATTCGCTATCAGACTCAAATATTCGAGCTCGGTTAGGTGAGACAGCAGCTGTATGTCCAGAGGATCAGCGAACTGACATTTCAGAGTACGCAAAGACCTTAGGCGGGCCAGTTCCTTTGCTGCCACGGTGTCGATCTTTGCTTCCTTCCCTGAGAAATGAAGTTTTTGTAGTACCTGCGACTCCTTGGCGGCCAGAGCAGTCAGGAAGCGCTTTGAGATTACTGGGGATAATGGCCCAGATATAAAAGTCATTTCTTCGAGCAAGGGTAGTTGCGCTAGCAGCTCAGCGTTCTGTGATTTCAATATCTTCTGGGCGGATCCTGAGGATGATGGCACAGGCTCAGTCATTTCTTTGGGCAGGGGTATCTGCTCTTGGAGCTCAGCTTTGAGTGTTTTGGCCAATCCGCACTCTAATATCTTCAGGCGGCTCTGGACGGAACCTGAGGAGGATGGCGCATCCTCATTAACTTCTTGGTGAGTGGGTAGCCGCCCTAGGAGCTTTTGGAGAATTGTTTTGGCCTAGAGGAGTCCCGAAAATACTGGCACATCCCCAATCATTTCTTCAGGCAAGGGCCTCTGCTCTTTTTCGGCAAATCCGCACTTCAAACTCTTTAGGGATGCGATTTGAGACACGATGGCGACTTCCGCGGCTGTGATCTCTCTCAACGTCAAAGACGTCAATGTGGGTGCTTTCCGGAATGCCGCTGCTAATTCATTGAGAATCGGCTTAAGTGAACCAACTTGAGGCGTTCCGTATATTTCAAGCGAACACAAACCTGGCAGAGTCGCAAGTGCACCAAAGTTGGAGGCATTGACATTATCTCCGCCTATGCTAAGAGTAAGATATCCCTCACTTGGTAGGTAGCAGATGGCAGTGTTCATATCTACTATGTCAATCCTCTTTTCCGCAATCGAGTCCTTAAGAATGCTCAGAACCTGCTCAGATATGGCCAAAAAATCATGCTCGGAGAGTATCTCTAAGTAGCCGAGTTTGGTCAGTTGGGACAAGAGCCCAATGCTCTGGTGATCGTCAAATCCACACTTCACTTTGGTTAGTGTTTCAATCTGGGCCATTGCCTGTGTTTCCGTTTTATCCAATGGGACATCGTCTACGGACAATCTGGTGAGCAGTTTGCGCCGCTTGGCAACGCATGCCTCCAGCAGGGGCTGCAGAGTGCCCTTCTCGTGCACACCCGCGATCTTCAAGTGGTTCAGTTTGGGAATCTTGGCCAAAGGCTTGTACTCGCTTGCATCGCAATCGGTTCTCATTTTGAAGGTGAGTTCTTCCAAGTCACCGCAATGCGGAACAATCGTGGCCAGCCTCTTTCCTCCCGTTTCATTATTCATGTATGACAATTTCTTTAAGTTTTTGTTCTGGATACAGCTCTCGACCAAGTCATCAATATCCATACGAATATTTAAACGGAGTGTCTCGAGGCTTTTAAGCTTTTCCAGACCCTCTAGGGTGTAGCCTGCAATGAATAGCTTTGTGTTTATACCTTTCTGTTTGTACATTTGTGTAATGCTCACCCGGTCCATATATGTCCAACTCTTTCAGATTTAGCTTGTTTTGGAGCTGACCCATGACTGTGCGAAATGCTTCCATGTGATCACAGTGGTATGATTCGGGTGCATAACGCAATACGACTTTTGTGGGACCTGCTTCCCTGATGGCATGGCTGAGGGAGTCCCAGTAGGTTTCCTTGTCCCTCGACGAGGTTGTCTCCAAGCGTTTGTACACCTCTTCAAAGTCAATGTGAATGCTTCTGATCTTACATTTCATGTACTGCTCAAGGCTGCTGTATAGCTCTGTATCCCATTCAAAGAGCATACGGGCAATATGTTGACAGCAATCGGCGAACCTAATGAGATCGCCATACTTGATTTCCTCGATTGCTCCTGGTCTTTCGCTCTCACAATTCTTTTTAATTTGATTAAATATTTCAAATTTGCTGTAAGGTGACAACTCAGAATTGCCCTCGTGGCTCAATTTTAGGTATTTATTAGACAGCCTTTGATAAGGAACAATTGAAAGTCCAGTGGATTATGCCAAGTTACACACCTTAATACACACCTACGATTAGATTTCTTTTGATTTTGTATTATAATTTATTTATTAAATTAAATTGATTTATTTTTATATTTATTAAATTTATTTATTAGTTATAATTACTTTCTGTGTGCACTTAATAAACGGTTTTAATTGTCAACGTTCTGACGACTGCGACTCAACTGGCTGTTCTGTTTGCTGATAAAAGCTTTTTATTTATTATACCCGGTACTCGAAGAGTAAATAGGGTATATTGTATTTGTGCGAATAACGGTTGTATGTAACGCACAGAAGGAAGCGTTTCCGACCCCATAAAGTATATATATTCTTGATCAGCATCAATAGATCGATAGAGCCATGTCTGTCTGTCCGTCTTGTTTGTCGGCTAGTTCTCAGAGACTATAAAAGCTAGAGCCCCCAAATTTTGCATCCAGACTGCTATATGCTCACACTGAAACCAGTGTATTTAAAAAATGAGCCACACCCCCTTCCGCCCCGCAAAAGGGCGAAAACCTCCCAAATCTACAATTTTGAAGATAACAGAAAACTAAAAACGCCATTCCGTAGGAAATGGCCATATCTATCAGATCACCAAATTGGGATCCGATTGGATCATTATTATAGCCACAATGGAGAAATTAGCTTTTGTTGTTCTTTTCACTTTTAACCCACCCCGTCCCGCAGCTTTTATTTGTTTTTTTTTTTTTTGTGCGGACGGTGCGTCTGCCTCTGCCTCGTGTCTGCAGTGTGTGGGTCTAGGGAAGGGCGGCAAGCTAACGGAGCGTGTTGGTGTGAGAAGTGTTGTAGATGTAGATGACAGATGAAGAAAAAATGTAAAATTTGACAAAACACCGCTAAGGTGCAGATGTAGTACCGAGTGCCGGGTATAAAAATTGTGACGCGTAAAAAGCGTCTCACACGTCCCTTCTCGTTGTCTCTCTCTCTCTCTCTTTTACTCGCACTAATCTGATAACTCACACAATTTAACTTTTAGTAGAAATCCACAGTAAAATGTTTTATACATATTTTCATAATATTTAATGGCATTTTACGTAGTACTTATGTATGGACATTGAATGAATGGTCAACGTAATGGACCGATGACAAATGTGTTGGTTTAGCTTACAAATTACAAGTGTTCTGTACCGCAGCAGCACCAATGGCGCGTGAGACTCTAGGTGGCAATGGGGGTGGGGGTGGCCTCTGGCTCGGCTGGCGGTGCCTTCTCTCCGTTGCCGTTCTTGGCAGCTGGCAAATCCTTGACGCCGGTCGAGCCGAAACCGGCCTCGCCGCGTTCGGTGTCATCCAGCTTGTCGACCAGTTCCAGTTCTGGATAGAAGATGCGCTCGCAAATGAACTGAGCTATGCGATCTCCATGCTTCACCTCGAAGTCCGTTTCAGAGTGGTTGAATAGGACGACGCCCAGATTGCCACGGTAGTCTTCGTCCACAACGCCGGCGCCCACATCAATGAAGTTCTTCACGGCCAGGCCAGAGCGGGGAGCGACGCGACCATAGGAGCCCTCCGGAACTTGGACCTGCAGATCGGTTTTGACAATCGCCTTGCCGCGGGCCGGGACCACCACATCGTAGGCACTGCGAAGATCAACGCCGGCTGCCTTGGCAGAGCCGCGGACCGGCTCCAAGGCGTGCTCCGTCAATTTGGCGAAACGCAACACACACTTCTCGATTTTCATTTTCTTGGCAGCTGGAATGTCGTCGGTAATGGATGAAGGCATCTGCAGTGATTATTGCTGTTTAATAATATCAATATCCAAAGGTTTTTCGAACATTCCACTTACTTGCAAATTTTTGGCGGTGAAATAGCGTCAATAGGTGCAGTGTGACCGCGGTTTTACCGACATATACTGTCTGACCGTCAAAAATATACCAAAATAGGCCGTCGCATTTTCTAAATATACGGAGCTACAAACCACACTGTATATAGATGTGTCATTTCGTACAAGCAATCTGTTGACTTGATGGTTGGTTCTAGGTTTTAAACGTAACAGCCTGAAGCGAATATCAAAATATCGACACACTTTTGGTACATTCGGTACTTTTGTGCGATTGTCCACACACTTTTACATTCTATCGACCATCAAGTAGTAGTGTGACCAGAAACACAGAAATCTCTGCAATTTGCCATTCACCGCGACTAGCCGACAATGCACTGATTGGACAATTTCTTTGTAAAATTTACAATTGAATGTGTTTTTATCACTTTACTTCAATTTGTATAACAATTAAAGCCAAATTCTCGGGTTTGCCTGCTGCCTCATCCATGCGGAATTCGAATCCCAAGGAGTTAACGTGCTAGAAAGGAAATTCTCGAGGTGAAAGCAGCAGAAACAACATCAAACAGCGAAACCACCTCAAAAGGGGGAGGCGCCTTTCCGCTGCTGCTGCTCCACCACTTGGCCACATATCAATGCAAAACAATGGAAATCAATTGATGCAGCACATCAATCACATGCAGTAGTGCGTCGTGGTGCGGAGGGGGTGTGCAAGCGGTTCCGTATCAAGAGAACAAATGTGCAATTTCAGACCACAGCCACCACCAGGCGAAGTGTATTGCGAGCGAGCGCAGGCAGTGTGTGTGTAAATGCGTGCTACGGTCGGTCTTATGCTGTCTCATGGTAGCGTGGAGCCAGTTATGTCACGACCCGACTACGAACAGAATGCCCTGCATCACAGCTCCCTTCTGGTGCTGCTCCGTGGTGTGGGACCCTCACGGGCACGCATCCTCCAGCGGGCCTTTGAGAAAGTGCGACGTGTCAACAGCATCAAAGTGAATGGTAAAACACTTGAGGGAGCCACGCTACCCAGAGACCTATCTAAATGCTTCTTCCCTTGCAGATTCCAGCGGCAATACACGCACCATTTGGGTGCGCTTCATCCATGAACATCCCGTGGAGCATAATGATTGGGGCGACTTTCAGACACATCGCCGCCTGCTGGGCCTCGTCACCATTGGCAAATTTGACAATCAACCGGAGCTGAATGAGCTCTGTCGCCTGCACGAGTCCCTGAAGGTGCGGTATGGCAGCACACTCTACGAGTCCCGGGCCATTTTCTTTGGACCCGACGAACCCAATGGCCTGGAGACCATTGGCGAGGAAAAATCGTCAACGCCGCGTCGCCTGCAGGATGACTTTACGACGCCCTCGAACTTCAAGTCGCAGGCGTTCTTCTATCGCGAGCAGGACTCGTGTGCGGATCTCGAGTCGCGCATTGGGGACTTTGTCAGCGCCCTGTTTTGGGTGCTCGAGTCGCGGCGGCTGGAGCGTTCGCGGGAGAAGGCGGAAAAGGTGAGCCTGCTCCTGGCACCCTTCGAGAAGCGCGACTTTGTGGGCTTGGACATGGAGTCGCGGAACAATCGGAAACGCTGCGTGGGCCGTGTGATGAAGAATCTGGCTGACTTGTCGCTGCAAGCGGGCCTCGTCGATGAAGCACTGAGTCTCTATCATAATGCCAATGAAACGTTGAGAACGGTGGGTGATTCCCTGTGGGTGGGGGCCACCGAGGAGGGTCTGTGTGCGGCATCGGCAATGCTGTTGTATCCGCAAATGCGAGAGATTGAGACGCTGCATAGAAACTCATCGCTGCAGGAAGCGGGTAAGTGGAAAAACAGTTCCTGAAAAGCAGAAATGTAACCGATCCACTGGGAATTGCAGGCACCTCACCGCTGCGGCATACCCCTGAGAAATGGCGAGCCAGTGATGCCACCAAAAAGGTCACCACCGCACCGGAAACGACGAATGGGGAGGCAACAGTCCAGCAGCAGCAGCAACAGCAGAGGCTTACCTCGAACTCATCTTCCTGCTCATCGGTATCTTCCTTGGTGACGACGGCTAATAATTCCTCGGCCTCCGACACGCCAACTACATCGTCCACGACCACCTCTTCCACATCCACAATATCGGCAGCGCCGCTGGGCGGTAACCAGCGCAACGGAGAGCTTCCCGGCAACATACTCAAGGCGGAGGAGATCACCAACTATTATCGCAAGGCCATCATCAACTACAGCAAGTACCGGCATGCGGCCACCATTGAAACGGAGGCGGCGCTGAAGGCCTCACGCATCTGCATCGAACAGAATCGACCGCTGGACGTGGCCATGTTCCTGCAGAACATTCTCTACATAAATTTGAGCATGAGTGAGCCGGAGCGTGTCAAACGATTCGAGATCATTACGGATCTGTATCAGCAGATTGGATACCAGCGGAAGGCTGCCTTCTTTCAGCGGCTGGCGGCACTGAAGCATGTCCAGCAGGGCAGCCAGGCGCCGGATTGGCTTCAAAGCTATCGCTTAATGTTGGGCAGCTTTACGGGCTACTTGCTATGCCTGGACCCGCTGGAAGTAGTGGGGAATGCTGCCGGCTGGCCGGCACTGCAAATTGATTTGGTTCAGAGCCTGATCACGGCAGCTCGGCGATTGGGACACTCGGCCCTGGCCACGCGCCACATGACGTTCCTGCTACAGACCCAATGGGACAATATGTCGCCCACAGAACAAAGCGAAATGGCTATACAACTGCAGGTGGGAGCACCATTCAATTTAGTATTTCAATGAAATCTAAAAATATTTTGTTGCAGAATCTGAGCGCCCAGTGCGAGGGCTCGCCTGTGCCGCTGGTGCTGGAGAATGGCACTGTGATACCGCCCGCAAATTTGACAGATTTGCCCTACTGCCTGGACTTTCAGGTGAAGGATTTACCGCCCCACTTGCGGCCGCAGCGTATCAAGGTGGCCAAGGCAGACAGCGGACCGTTTCTGTTCACGCCCATCCACTTTAATTCCGTGGATAGAAGGGACAAGAAGAAGGATAAGAATAAAATAGGTGAGCCAGGCACTTGAAATGAAGCCATGACAATCATCTTTCCCTTTTGTTGCAGCTTTCCTGTGGGTTCAGAACGATCTGAGCGAGGTGTGTGTGCGTTTAAGGAATCCCCTGCCATTTGAGCTGACCGTCACCGATATGCGACTGCTGACGAATGGCGTTGTGTTCGAGTCGCTGCCCCAGACCATTGTCCTACAGCCGCATGTGCCCACCTATGTGCCGTTGCATGGCACGCCCATCGAGACGGGGCAGCTGGATCTTCAGGGCTACAGTACGCACACACTGGGCGTCAAGTCCAATTGTCGACTGAAGCATATGCGGGGACGTAGCTTTCCGCCCAACTATCTAGTGGAGGTGATACCCGCCCTGCCGAGAATAGCTGTGAAAACTTCGCTGCCACAGACGGCCACATTTAGCAATATGAATAGTGCGGACATTGTCGTCACCTCGGCCAGCCTCACGCTGTACAATGGAGAGTCCTCCAGCTGCACCATAACCATTACCAACGAGAGCGCCATCCTGCCGCTGGAATATCTGGAGGTGAACATTAACTCAAATGTAGAACAGGAGCTTCAGAGGAAGATCTTTCGGATAGATGAAGAGGCTTTGCAGGTGAGTTTCAAGTGGAAAAAAAGCACGCTGAGTATGGATTCTCAATCGGTTTATTCCCCTTTGCAGGCCAAGCTGCCTGTTCCGCCACAGGGTACCATCGATTTTGTGGTGGAAGTGTACGCTGAGGCGGATTTCGTTTGTCCCCAACCACCGTCATCGGTGGGGCATTCCAGTGCACCAGCTGCTGGTGATTATTCCCTGATGTCCGGCTCTGGGCATGCCAGTTTGCCCTCGAGAGTGGGCTCACCGCAGCATCGGCGCCACGAACCGCAAACCTCCAGCTTTCGCTCCACCATGTCCGGTGGGCAGCCCTCGCTGGCGGCACTGAGCCTGCAGCCAGAACCCTCCAGCATTGGCTCGCAGTTTTCGCAACATATTGAGGCGCAGGTACGCTTGAAATACTCAGGAGGGGAGGCACTGACGGCTGGGTATTGTCGTCAGTGTGCTGTGTCCTTTAATCTGGAGCTGCTGCCCAGTGCACAGATTACCAGCTGGGATGTTCTGCCAGCCGAGATGTAAGTGGAAGGAATGATCAAGCGAACATATATTAATTTTCCTCTTCGTTTTTAGAGCTTCACAGTTCTATCTGGTGCTGGATATATCCAATCTAACCGCTCAAGAGATGTCGCTCAATTACACAGACAACAAGAATATACTCATCGAGGCCAAAGAGAGCTGCCGTGTGCCCATACCAGTGGATCGTTGCTCACTGGAGCAAGTGTGTGCGGCACGGGCAGCCGAAGTTGCGGAGAATCTAGAGAGAGGTTTGATCTATATTTCCTGTGTCCTGTGTGGTCGGATTTAAAACCAAGCTCAAATCCTTTTGCAGAACTCTGTTTTCGAACGCAGCTGCTGTCGTTTAATGATGCTCTTGGCAAACTATGCTCAGAGCATATAGCCGAGCGGGTGAAAATCAATTGGCTGCTGACTGGAACCGATATCAAGGGCATGGCCTCCTTGCGGGGCATAGTCCTATCGCAGTCCATGGTGGATCTCACTGCTGTATCGCCCCTGCAGTGGTGTAAGTTGTGCTGCGTCGAGTACGAGAAACCCATTTTCATTTGTGTTCTTTGCTCTTAGCTATTAGCTTTCAGGATACGCCTGTGCAGCCGCACAGCGAACTTGTGTGTACGGTGGGACAGCGTGCGCTGCTTTGCATACAGTTGACCAATGATTCGATGCAGCCGCTCAAGAATCTGGTGTTGAGCATCAAGTTCTATCAGGATTATTTAAATGGAATGGAGAATTACAATCTGGAGACACGCGTGGCCTTCTCAGGCCCAAATAGGTGAGATCTGATGGATATATATTAATGTTAGTTAATGTCTAATCTTTGTTTTATCTTTAGAATTTCCATTCCCATTCTGGAGAAACAGGAGCAGACGCAGCACACTTGCTCTGTGATATTCTTTACGCCTGGACGCTTCAAGGCTGGCATTGAGTGCACCACCAACCCGCAGCAGCAGCAGCAGCAGCAACAGAAAAAGCCAACGTCAGCACGTTCCTGTCCGAGCGCCACACATGTTGTAGAAGGTCAATTAGAAATGTTCTCGTCCAGCTATGATGAGCAGCAGGCGCATGTTTGGAAGTTTATACCGCCCATAGAGGTGACCGTTGTTGAGCAGTGAAGAAATGTTACTTGTCTCTAGTTTAATTTCGTTACAACATATATTTGGATATGTGCGTGCTTGTGTGTGTGTCTCTTGTGTATATGTGCGTATTGGCTAACCCCCCGACATATAGTTTGATGCCCGCTCTGTTATACCCCTAGGCTTGTGGTAATATCAAAAGCAATTAATTGTTTGTAAAGCGAAACAAAACTTTAAATCGAGTAAATAAATACGCATAAATTGTATATAATTAAGCTCAAAACAAAAACAAAAAAGTATATAAACCATACCTAAATGCTTGATAGAGAAAATGGCCATAATATAAAATCAATATAGTACACTTATATATATATATATATATATATATATATATATATATATATCTTATATATCCAGAGTTATACAGCTTTAGGCTTACAAAGTGGTGTATATAGATAGCAAATGTTTCGCGCACTAAAAAGCAAAACCACTCAAGCATAATACATTTTGATAACAAATTCGTATTTACAAATATTTTTATACAAAAAGCAAATGCAACAAAGAAATAACTACTGCAAAAAAATCAATTGACGCTGGGGCAATACACGTGGATTGAAGATATAAGAATTGTTGCTACCTTCTCGAAGGATCTAAGATAAATATGCCAATGAAATGTGTGAATTATTTGTAGTGTTAAGTAAATGCAATAAAACTGTATTTGACAAAACATAGTACAACATAAAAACAAATACAAATACACATATGTTAATCCCCTATCCCTATCCCAGTCGTCGTATATCATCCATGGTGTAGCCACGACGATGCAGCATAACGCAGGATAACACATACATGTAGTAGCCGCCGGGTATAATGGTCAGTGCTCCGATAATGGACAAAGCCCACACACGGTCCAGCCGCTCGCGATTTATATCCGCCATCCAGTCTATGGTGGCAAAGCCAATACATATCTGAGAACAAAACAAAGCAAAGAGTTATCGAGTGGATGAGTCACCAAGGGGCCGCCTCGGGGTCGACTATTGAACGCACTGTGCCGCCTATGAACAGGGTGAGGATGATGAGTATCGTTTTCCATGGCGTTGGCTCAAGTATCAAGTTTGGTTCTATCCATTGCTCGTTCACGAACCCATCCGTTTCACTTTGGTCATCTATCACCTTGACGTAGTCGCCAGACGGCGGGATGGAGCCCCCAATATTGAGACGTCGACGGGAGTCCGTTTTGGTGGGCAGCATTTTGTAGGATTTTGGCAAACAGGTTGATCTTGATCTCGTGCACTTGAATGAATTGAAAGGTAGCGGCGATTTTTTCCTTGCCTTATCAGTATTGTTGTGGCCAACAGATGGCGCCAAGACTGCCAACCTTTTTGGAATTACAAACAGCTGTTCCTCGCATCGAGTTGCCAGCACCCAAATTACAGCCCGCGTTTCGATTAAGACCAAAATAAATGAAAACCAAGTTTTTGAATTTTCACGAAATATATTTGTGGTATGCAAAGTAGCATCTAAAAGGGATATCATTATAGTTTTATTGGAGGAAATCAATCCAAAATTGCTAATTTGTAATAGTTACAACCACTAGACTATCCCAATCTCACCTCTGCGACTCGAGTGAATCTGTAATAGGAGTAAAAATTTGTTTAAAATAAAACTTTAATTTCAACTGACATTGTGAATAGACAGAACAAATTTTCAGAATGTAAAAAACATGATAGATCAGTCATAGACATCAGGTGTCCCTATCAAAGTTATCATCAGAAAGCAGTTATCAGAGAGAGCAGAAAACGGTAGATCTAAGCAATACTTACAAGGGAAACATGAATCACGTCCATTCGTTGGGTTTCGCTTGAAAATCATACTTTCCTCTGCAAAGAAATGGTACATTTACGAGTTATAATTGCTCATGACTGGGGATATGAAAAGAGTAGTAATGCCGCAATCAGTTCTACTATCAAGATAAATCAGTCATAGACATCAGATGTCCCTATCTCAAGTTATCATCACAAAAAAGGTGGCAGTCGCTTGGTACTTTAATATACTTACATTTCAAATTAAGACGGACATTGCTGCGAATATGTCCATCGACGGGACAGGCATCTGTAAAAAAAAAAATGGATATGTTGGTCAGAAGTGTTCATGACTGGGTATATGAAAAGAGAAATAATGCTGCAATCAGTTCTACTATCAAGATAAATCAGTCATAGACATCAGATGTCCCTATCTCAAGTTATCATCAGGAAGGTGCAGAAAATATTTTGTAACCAAGGAAATACTTACAAAGTAGACTTGGACCATGTAGTCTTTGGATTTGTCCGTTGTGAATCATATGTTCCTCTGTAAGAAAATAAGTATATAGATTAGAAATTGTTTATTTAAGTGAATATTCAATAAAAGGATCGGGAAATCAGTTCTACTATCAAGATAAATCAGTCATAGACATCAGATGTCCCTATCTCAAGTTATCATCAGAAAGATGCCGAATATACTTTTTAACCAAAAAATACTTACATAGCAGATTTACCCAATGCAATCGTTGGACGTGACCATTGTGAATCACACTTCCCTCTGCAAGAAAAAATATATGTGGATTAGAAAGTGTTTATTTAAGGGAATATACAATAAAAGCTTCGAGAAATCAGTTCTACTATCAAGATAAATCAGTCATGGACATCAGATGTCCCTATCTCAAGTTATCATCAGGAGAAGGGTAGAATAAATTGTACACCCAAGTCAATACTTACAAAGCTGAGTTCCGAAATCATTGTTGTGTCCATGGAAAAGTGAGGGTTCCTCTGTAAATAAAAGACGAATTTGGATTTGAATATGTTCATAAAAGTTTAATATGCATTTAAGGCATTGAGATATCAGTTCTACTATCAAGATAAATCAGTCATGGACATCAGATGTCCCTATCATAGTTTATCATCATATAAGAACGTGTTACGGTCTTAATAAATTGCACTTACAAATGGAATCGAGCTGCAGGCTGCAGTAAATTGGTCAATCGTTAATACATCTGCAAGCAAAATTAATGCATTAATAGTTGTGGTTAAAGAGAACTGTCCTCATGGTAGTCATCTATGTAGTCTGAGTAAGCCAAATATGATTAATCAGCCATAATTATCAGATGTCTCAGTTGCAAGTTAGAGCTTACCTTTTTCTTAGTTAACAAAGGTCGTAGACTATGTTTAAAATGAAAAATTTGTTTTTTAAAATTCATTTTGTGGTCCAACACGTGTCGCGGTCGCTAGAGGTGCAAAAAGATTGATATTCGATCATCGATATACTAGGGCTGCAAGACCATCGATGGCACTCTCGTTACAGAGAAGTCTAGAAAATAAACAAAGCGATTTTGTAACCTTATCATAAAAATAGGAACATAAAGCCATTAAAGCACAATTCTGTAGATTCTATTTTAGTTTATTATAATTACCGATGGTACGACCATCGATGTTTTTGCAGCCCTACGATACATGTACATACACCGATTATGTTGATCTCTATCGATGTTTTATTGGCACCGTTAACTTGATTTTCATTTCTAAAAATAAACAATTACATTATTAAGCAATATGTACTGTAATTATTAAGAAATAAAAACGAATGTTGTGAAATGCAGCATATATCGCACAGATAGGTGGACTTGCATTTTGGAATGTTCGTTCTAAGGATAATTTGTTGATATATTTTTTTCAGTGTATTTTGTAGCTTACATTTATTTCAAGACCGTGTAAACTCGTAAATGCCCCATGTAGTCCATGAACTTGAATTTTCGTTGCAGGCGTGTGTTCCACAAATGGATCGCAAAAAGCATACTGTATTTTCTATTTTTTATTTGCTTTCTGAAAATAGATTTGATGCAGCTCTGGTGGCCGCTATGTACCGTAAAAGTGTGACGCTATTTACAGTTAAAAATGTTGCTTTTATTATATAAATAGATAATGCGAATCGGACACTCTGCACTTGATATTCAACATTATAAACATTTAGCTGTCGCGTCCTAATTAGCCAACAAATTACATTGCTTATTTACTTATTATTACATGGCAGTCGACGAGACATTGCATGTGACTAATCAAAACCAACAAAACTAATATTGAAATCTTATTGCTTTCATTGATGATCAGCCACGGGAGGATCCTCCGCCGCTGACTGGCTGACTTCTAAGGCCTCTTCTTCTAGTTGTTGCTGCTGCTGCTGATCTTGCTCTTGCTGTTGCTCCTGCTGCTGCTGGAGCTTTAGGCGTTTCTTGGCCTGTATATCGGCCAGGGTTTGTTCGATGGAGCGCATGTCCTTCTTGTTCTTGCTGGGCACAAAGCCATAGCTTTGGTTTGTTTCTGTTTTGCCTGCTGCCTGCAGGCCCGCCGATTCACCTATCAGATGGGCATATTTTGCTTTGTAATTGGTCATAGGCTTCACCTCGCCCGTTGTATTGTCTGGGTCTGTGGAGCAGCCCGCTTCTGCTGCGGCTGCTGCTGTGGAAGCCTTTTTGTCGCTCTGCTCTTGAGCCAGGCGCTCTTTTCGTTGTTCTGCGTATTCTTTGGCAATCTCCTTGTTCCAGCCATCGCCATTGCGACGCGCCGTCACCTCATCCTCGCCGGGTGCATGCTCCTTCTTGTATACCACCGAATGGCGATCGACATCCTCCTGGCCGAAGCTCATCGCTATGAAGCCGCCGTTCTCCGCAATCTCGTGAATGACGGAACGGTGCACTTTATCCAGGGGCTGGAACTCGATGGACACTCGATCATCTTTGGCAAAGCGGGCCATACGCTCGTCCACATACTTGCGGAATCGCAACAATTCCTCCTTCTGTCTCTTTTGCATCCGCTCCATCATTTCACGCTGCTTCTTGATAAGCGTTTTCTGCTGCTCGCTGGCCGATGGAGGGGCATCCATGGCGTTCAGTATGGAATCGAGGAGATCCATTTTGCCCCCAGTTCTGTTCTTCTTTGAGGGCTCGCTCGTTGATTAATTTACTGCCTGACGCCGCCCCAAAAAAAGGCAAATTTGGGTTGATTTAGCATGATCGGCAAGTTAAAATATCATTCCATTACTTACCACTCTCTGGCGACGATTAGGAGCTTATCAAACTCTTCAGTAATAGCTAATTTAGTTGTTTTATTTGTGTAAAAATAGTTATATATTGGCAACCGGTGCTTGTGCACCAGTGTGACCGCGGAATTATCGATTGAATATACCGTCGGACCCTAAGAATATACGTTCGTATTTTTAAAATATACCGTGAAACGGTTCTTTTGCACCACCAAATAATGGATGAAGCTGCTAACTCCTTGGGTATTAGGAAGTTAAGTATTTTTGTTACACAACAGCTGTTTTTACAACAGACTTGATCTGAATCGCTAAAGTCTTAGTTACGTACTGATTAATTATTACAAATTATTATAACAAATGTTTCTAGTTTCAAAGCAATTTTTGTTTCTATAATTGCAAGTAACTTCATTTCGGTTAAGTTGGCAGCTCTCTCCTCCCAGCTGGCGCGTGCCGTGTGTTTGAATTTGCAGAATACATTTTTTGGAAGAGTTTTTTGGTCCTTGAGGTAATGGATGATGGATGCCAAGCATGCTACACTCGTCCACTGGTTCCGCAAAGGTCTCCGCGTCCACGATAATCCCGCCTTGTCGCAAATCTTTGCGACGGCTAACGTTGCGCCTGAGAAATTCCATGTGCGACCCATATTCATACTGGATCCTGGCATTCTTGATTGGATACAGGTGGGAGCCAACCGCTGGCGTTTTCTTCAACAGACGCTTGACGACCTGGACCAGCAGCTAAGGCAGCTCCATTCACGTTTGTTTGTGGTGCGGGGCCAGCCCGTCGATGTTTTTCCCCGCATCTTTAAAAGCTGGCGCGTGGAACTCCTGACATTCGAGACGGACATCGAGCCCTACGCCCTGAAACGCGATGCAGCTGTTCAGAAATTGGCCAAAGACGCGGGCATCAAGGTGGACACACATTGTTCCCATACAATTTACAATCCAGAGCTGGTTATTGCCAAGAACATGGGCAAGGCTCCCATCACATATCAAAAGTTTTTGAGTGTGGTTGAACAGCTGAAAACTCCCAAGGTGCTGGAGTTGCCAGAGAAATTGTCAAAGAAAGCGCTGCCGCCCAAGGATGAAGTGGAGCAGCACGATGAAGCAGCATACGATTGCCCCACTCTACAGCAGTTGGTGAAGAGACCAGAGGATCTGGGACCCAATAAGTTTCCTGGCGGTAAGAAATCAATGAAATTTCACGTAGAGTAACTTAATGTTTGGAAAACATTGATGATTCAGGTGAAACCGAGGGTCTGAGACGCATGAAAGAGTCTCTTCGGGATGAGCTTTGGGTGGCTCGCTTCGAGAAGCCAAACACTGCACCCAACTCCCTGGAGCCCAGCACCACAGTGCTCAGTCCGTATCTGAAGTTTGGATGCCTCAGTGCGAGGCTTTTCCATCAGCAGTTGAAGGAGATTCTGAAGCGGCAGCCCAAGCACTCGCAGCCGCCCGTCTCCCTCATTGGACAAATTATGTGGCGTGAGTTCTATTACACGGTGGCTGCTGCCGAACCCAACTTTGATCGCATGGTCGGGAATGTTTACTGCCTGCAGATACCCTGGCAGGAGCAGGCCGATCATCTGGAGGCCTGGACCCATGGACGCACAGGGTATCCGTTCATCGATGCCATTATGCGGCAGTTGCGGCAGGAGGGCTGGATACACCATCTGGCACGACATGCCGTGGCTTGCTTCCTGACGCGCGGCGATCTCTGGATCAGTTGGGAGGAGGGACAGCGTGTGTTTGAGCAATTGCTGTTGGATCAGGACTGGGCTCTGAATGCCGGCAACTGGATGTGGCTCTCGGCATCGGCATTCTTTCACCAATACTTTCGAGTCTACAGCCCCGTTGCATTTGGAAAGAAAACTGATCCCCAGGGCCACTACATACGCAAGTATGTGCCAGAGCTGGCCAAGTATCCGAATGGCTGCATCTACGAACCCTGGAAGGCCACACTCGCCGACCAGCGGGCCTACGGCTGCGTTCTGGGCGTTGACTATCCGCATCGCATCGTTAAGCACGAGCTGGTGCACAAGGAGAACATAAAGCGGATGAGTGCAGCCTACAAAGTGAATCGAGAAGTGCGCACCGGCAAGGCGGAGGATTCTCCCGAGGCTGATCGCTCAGTCGCAGGCAAGCGAAAGGTGGCCAAGTCCACGGGAAATGCCGCCAAACGAAAACGTTAAAAGACATTTATATATCATATATTATGCTACCCCTGCTGGGGGTACATCTTGTTTTGTATTATTTTGAAACGATTTATAATGTGAGATTGCAGAATCTCTGCGAATGGAATTGAACTAGAAATTGTAGCTAAAATGAACGAATTATTTTTGTTGTTAATTAATATTAATTCAATTATTTTAGGGGAGTACCTTGTTAAGGTAAGCTTTGTCCTCTTTAACTATTTCATATTTCATTTACATTTACATTTACAGATACATTGCTTAGATTGTTTTCCCGCTTGCATTTTGCTGGTTTTCAAGTATATTTCCTATTTCCAAAACAACTTGGCTTTAAAATCGACTGAAATCGACTTTACGCAGGCTTTTTGTAAGACGTCGTTTGGGTTACACCAGAATCTCAGTCTAAACCCACAGTTCGGCAAGTCAAGACCAATTCCAATATTGCTTTCAAAATCAAAAAAACAATTTCAGTAAATTTTACATTTTGTTTTGTTTTGTAAAGTTTAAAAATGATTCGTAATATGAAGTGCAAGATGCTCATGCACCGGGCCCTCGCGTACCGCATGAACTCCCGCTGCAGCATGCACCCGACCAGTCTGCTGTGCCGCAAGAAGCCAGAGTCGCTGGGTGAAGATATTACCATCACTGACATCAACATACACGATCTGGCCAAGGGCGATCTGGAGTTTCGACGCAATTTTCTGACATCCCCGATGTTGCTGCGCCCGGAGGTGGAACTGCCGAAGACCAAGGAAGACGCAACATCCAATACCAAAGGGAAATCAACCCCAAAGACGACTGCAGATGCTGCTGGGACACAGGCTGCAACAGCCAGCGAAGTTGATGATGCAGCTTCCGATTCCACTGTGAAACTTAGCTCTGAGATGGATTTGGAGGACAAACTATTAAATTTGAGGAACGAAATACTCGTGCACCGTACCACCATGTCCCGCGGGACCAACAGTTTGCTGTGGCGCAAGCAGTCCGATCCAGAAATCAACATACGCGATCTTGCTAAGGGAGATACCACAGCCAGCGATGCTGTTTCCACTGTCAAGGTTTGTGATGTGCTGGGTTTTCAGGGCAATCACCGTGACACCATGGAACGCATGGCCACCAGTCTGATGTGCCGCACAATGCTGTGTTTGCAGTACTTCTCTGACGCCAAGGGACATTTGGAGTTTCGCCGCAACTTTCAGACATCGGGAAAAATGCTAGATTCAACACCCAATACCATGGATAAATCTTCACCAAAGAACACTGAAGATGCCTCTGAAACACAGGCACCCACAGCTAGCGATGGTCATGGTGATGGGGCCAAAAAGAGCTCCGTGCTGGATTTGGATGGCAATCAGATTACGCCCATTGAGATCGATGGCTGGAAACAGGACGATGAATCCGATCCGACTGTACAGAACAACAACGATATCGACATTGGCAACGATGACGAATACAATGATGAGATGTTGCTCAAGGTGCCGGAGAAACGTGAAGGCGAATTCTCGTACAAGGGCATTACGATTAAGCTGCCAGAGTCTGCTTCCCAGGACATTGGCACCTATCGCTTTCGCCGCGATGCCGAGGATCTGGAGTGCCTCGCCGATGACATGCGCATCGTCAAGTTTGACAAAAAGTAGTGGGATTTACGCATAGGTTGCCTGCCACACAAATTTGTTTGGATCCCACCAGTTGATTTGTTTAATATTTGGCCAGATATAACACTGTATGTACACCGTTAATGCAAGTCTCACACTCACACAACAAACATCAACACATAGATAAAGAATCAGTTAATCAGCGTCATATATTTTTGTAGTATTTTATTATTAGATACTATTTAGATGGCGTTGTGTTTGATTCCGTTCATTTTCCTCTCGGATGCCACAATCGGAGCTAGGAATTTATTAATGAAATCGGATGCGAGTTCCACGTGTACAGAGAAAGGCCAAACCTGCAAAATTGTTTGTCGTTTGGCAATGATGATTATCTGCCCAACTGTGACACGGACATGGCCACGGGCGGACTGACAGCTGGCGCCAGGTCCGGTCATGTTTAAATAAAAAACAAGCTAGAGTCCAATTTCTGCACTGCCCCTGCGGCCATACATATATCTACATACGGAACTCCCGCTTCATGGCCCACTCGGCACATTTTGTACAAGTATATCATCACAAAAGATCGTTTTGTGGTCAATGGCAACCGGAGCCGGGGCCAAAAACACTTCACATAAATTGCATTAAAACGTGCGTAGGATGGTGCAGGGGGTTTGGGTGCGGGTGCAACGGACACACGGACACACGGACATAAACATGCTGCAAAATGTTTGTCGGCTCTAAACCAAAATTGAATTTGCGGTTGAAACCCCTCACCCATCCTACACGTGTACAGGTGGGGCAATGCAAATAACTGTAAATGAAGCTAAAATGCGGTCACAAAATGTGGGGGTGTGGAAGGCAATAAAAATGATGGCGGGGAAGTGATTACTGGGTAGGCTGTAGGCAATGGCAATGGTATGGGGAAACTGAAAAGTCGGTCAGAATGATAATGAACAGCGAACGGTGGAGAATTACCATTATACCATGCCATAATTCTACTACTTATAACTTCCTTTATTCCACTTATGTTAAGGTATATGATACCATGAACAATTTAATGACATGTGAGTACCCAGTACTTCTGAGTAATGGCACACAAATCAGATTATCCGGATTCTCCGGTTATTTCTGCAGCCCGCATTAAGTTTTTAAGGTCCACGGTCAGCTCCAGGCACTTCCTACGATGGAAATGGATGTGAGGACACACTAAAGTAAGCAGCGTGCGTCTATAACCGATGGAATAAGCAAAGAAAGAGTCGACAGAGAGAGAGAGAGAGAGAGTGAAGGAGAGCTAAAACCAGACAGATACAAGTCAGTGTACATATCAAAGTCATGAACAGCAATATCCTGCGCCGCACATCTCCGATACGGACAGGGAACTTGGACAGGGACATGGCTCTCGGTGGCAGTTTGCGCCTGGAAATGATGTGGTTAGCTGTGGCTCCTGCGGTGTGCTATACTGATGCATCAGTCGTTGTTTTTGTTGTACTTGTAGTTGTTGCTGTGGTTCCCGATGACGACTGTCGGACTGTCGGACTGACGGGTAAAAACTTTTTTTTGGGGCCATGGCGAACGAACGGTAACTGAAAACGCTTCGAAAAGTTGCCCGCCAGGAGTAGGTCAGACAACGGACCGTTTGCTTTTGGGCTTAAATGAAACTACTGTACTAAAGTTGGGAAGACTCGAGGCCTTTTTGCACACAGAAATGCGATATTAACATCACGCGGGCCATGGGAAACTCAGTGTTGGATTGTGCTAGTACCTCGAAACGATGTTTGAGGATGCATTTTTAAGGCACTTTCAAGGCAAGTTCGAAAGTGAAATATTGGTCTTTTTTTTTAGCAATTGTTGCCCTTCACGTAAGTATATAATTCAAGACAATTAATGTTGATCTTTAAGCTTTGTTTTCGTACAAAAAAATATGTATAAATGATGTACTTATTTTCGGTTTTGCAAAAAGAAAAATCAATAGGCGGCGGCAATCACAGCAATCAGCATGAAATGGGCCGCTGCCGCTCCCTGTTCGGTGTGGGAGGATAAGGCCCATCAACATCATCATTATCTTTATCATCATGGGTTGGCCGGAATTTCCGTTGGCCAGGAGCTGGCCAAGGGCCATTACAGTCATTCGCTTTGGTCTGGTTTGGTCCAGTCCAGGGTCCGTGTCCGGGAAGTTGACCAACTTTTAATACCCGCAGCGGCCATGTTGCGCATGTGTAATCCCATTAAAATCCAATAAGTTAAATTATTTCCATTATTATTATGTGAACGCACTTTGTCGCTGTCCGTCCATCAGTTCATCCTGTCCGGATAGCTGCCCATGTGGGCGTTTATCTCTCGACGGCTTCGGCTTCGGCTCTCTGGCTGTGGCTTTTGTTGTCCCACCTCTGGCCACCACATCGCATCCCACTGTCCAGATTCGCTTCCATCTGCAGTTCAATGTCCGGCACAGTATTGGCGGCACTTTTGACCAATATCTGCAACACTTCAAGCCTCCGTCCGAGTGTGGTTACGCCCATCAGTTGGCACTGTCCGCTCCTCCATTGTTGGCCATTAAATTGCATTACGTTCATGCAATCATTATGATTGCCGTTTGCCATCGTCGATGCTGTTGTTGTTGTTGTTCTTGTTGTTTTTGCCGTTGTTGTGTTCTCATTGTGCCCTGTAATTTGGGTATATTTTTTAATTACTTGCAAGCTTCCCGTGCGATGTGAGATGAAGCTGCACATGGCACTCAAAAGAGAACGAGAGGAGTATTATTCGGTTTTTTCCTTTAATGAGCAACCATGTCATAGGAGTACACTGGAAAAGTCCAAGAATTTCAAGAGATTTAAGTGTAAAAGAGTGTAAAGAAGAGTTATACTCGATCTGTATTATAAATAAATAAAAATAAAATACTTACACCAGAATATATATGTAGCTTTAGTCGAATACTATTTTTAATTGAGACTTTTATCTGTGTAATTGAGACAAAACACAAGAAAGTCCACAGATGGAATATTGTTAATCAATGATGACATTTTCTGAGTGTATTTCCTTTCTTGTGCCTTTGTATTTTTCTGAAGAACATACCCAAAACAGATATTCCAGTCAATTATTTATTATATTCGATTAAAAACCATCAAATTTCATTACGTCAATTTCGCTTCCAATTAACATGAAACGCGCGTTGCCAAAAATAAATTCAATTATTATAAAAAATATGAATAAATGTTCTTAAAGTGTGGATAAAAACTGCGGACACGAGTGTGTCATGCATACCAACAAAAATACAGAAAGAGACAGTATTATGTGGTGGTGAAAGAGAGAGCTAATGGCAACGACAATGTGCCGCAATTATGGCAAAATAGTTTGCAAAACTGTGCGAACGAAGGGCAACGGAAAAAACAGGAGCATAACCAACCGAGAATAACGGTAAAACTATAGTAAATATTTTTCGCAACAAAAGAGAAAAAGAAGAAAAGGCAAAGCATACAAGGCAAAAATGTGTGTACATCTGCGTGTGTTTTGAAACTCGTTCTGGCATCGTTAATATTTTTCCTGCCAACTGTCAGACAACAAAAAACTCAGAAAATCCACCAACAATGACAACAACAACAACAAGCATACAACTTTAACAACAATAACACACAAAAATTCAACAACAAGTAAGAGAAACAGCTTCATGATACCCTAGCAGATTTATCATTCCATTTATCAATAAAAAGAAGGGTCTTTGAATCTCTATTCACCCGGAAATAGGGGTATTAAAGACACATTTGGCTATATCGACACGTAATACTCCGTGGTACAGGTTGGACTCGAACGAACTAAGAGTTGACTCGGGAATGGCTCCAATGAGTGGGGACAGGATGTGCGGATCTGACTGTGGCTTGGCATGGGGCTGCATGGCAATGTGAGCAACAGCAATTTTTTGGTTCATGAACATGCGGCAAAAATTAGTAGCAAAGCGAGCAAAACACAAAACACACGACTGACAACGGAAATTGTGCGAATGCTGAAGGAAAAATCGACGCCAGCAACAACCACCAAACCAAACAAAAAATAGACAATATAGGAGAAAAGATAAATATTTTGTGGGTTTATTTTTATGGAGTCGACTAGTAAGTATCTGTTGTAAGAAAATAAAATAGTAAACAAAAAAAAAAAACACTTTTACGTGCAGTAAAATATAAACCCGTGTCTCTGACTGTACCTATTGGCATTCCTGCTATCAGATAAGTACAACCGGGTATACCCCTTAACCCTACCGATTAAAGAACATACACCATAGCAGAGCCAGCCGCAGATACAACAAATATAACCACAATAGCGCCTGTCGTTGCAGCGATAGCGCGGCAGCAGCAGCAAATATTGAAAAACAACAACTGCCAAAAACTTGTCTACTAAAATGGCCCAACAACAAAATGCAGCAGCAAAAACAACAACAATAAAAAAGTGAAGTTATATAGAAAGCTGGCAGCAAAGATTTGGATACCCTTACATAAACATATTTCCAAATTTATAACGAATTAAAGGCAAAATAAAATTCACATTGGTATGGGCGATGTATGATGTACTGAAGCAATGTACAAGCTCGCCCTAATGACTAGTTGCCATAGAAGCTGACAGATGGATATCGATGGCCTTTTCAGTTATTTCTGAATGACAAACGTCTGCATAAAATCGTTATGCCCTCCTGTTTGGGTAGCAGAATAATGTGGAGCCCAGGCGCAGTCAAAAATGGCCAAATGTTGTGTATGTTTTACAAGAAAATGACTTGGTTGTTGTTATTCCTGTTGTTCCAGTTGGTAAAATGTTCTTGCTGTTTTTGTAGTTGTTGGTGTTGCGGTTGCAGTTGCCGCTGTGGGGCCACAGGATTGCATAAACATTGGCAGGATCCGTCCACTCTTCCACACAACAACAACAACATTGCTGCCAGACAGCATTTCAATTTCTGGCTAACTTTAATGATGTGGTGGGCAAGACTTTAAATAATTTTTCATCAACCACCAAAGCAAATAATAGACAAAGAAATAAGGAGACTTCTAATAACTGATACTTTTTCTTACTCTCTTTTCTTGTTCTTAAAAGTAATTATTGAAAATAATGTTCAAGCCTTTACCTTCAGAAACAGCTCAAATATGAGCTAAACTTCTGTCTGAATCACAGGGCATCGAGCCAGAAGGCTCGAGAAATCAATGCAAATCGTTAAGGAAAATTCATACCCTCCGTATTCTCTTTATTTCGAATTTTCCATCCATTTTTGGCAGCCACAAGAAATGGTTCGACCTTTACCGCCTGATTATGAGTCCAAGTTTTCCGTTTGGCTTATTGCTAAAGTTTCGGTTGGCCCCCATAACTGGGGTTTGTATTGGTTTTTGGTTTTTGCTTTGGCTCTGCTTTTTGGCCTTTTGATTTTATTATTTTTCCATTTGCAGCAGATTGGCTTAGGCCCAGTCAGAGTCAGAGGAGACCCAGGAGAGTGCTCTCCGCACTCCACTCTCTGGATCTTACTGCTTAACTGCAATCCCCGTGGGCAATTCGGTTGCCATTTGTGTTGTTGCCCCTTTTACCTTTTTCTTGTCCCGTTTTTTTTGTGTCTTCTGGAAAAATGGTTGACGGAAATGTTATTTAAGAAGCGGAGAAATGTTTTGCATTTTTTCATGGTTTCTAGCTTGATGTTTAAAGTTGAAAATGGAAAACATTGAAGGAAAACAAAAAGAACAGACGAAAATGCTTGCAAACGAATGAAACACAAAAAGCCGCACAATAAATCCACCAATATAATCCATTATTTTTACAGATGCTCGCAATGTTTGATGTCCAAATATTCTGGCACGGGCTTAACAGTATCACTTTCAGCATTTCCGCAATTGTGTAAATATTTTATGCCACACTTTTTATTTTACCATTTTTTGTAAATCCGTTTGCCTAGGGGACACCGAAACTCTCTGTAGATTTTTAATTACTATAGTACAAATGCAAAATACAAACAAATTTCAATTGCAAGTTGGCCAGAGGCACACAAATGAATAGAGAAAGCCCCAAAAAATAATATGGGGACGAACACGCAAAATGTTAAGCTGCTTGTAAGTCGCAATGCAAATGCGGCTTTAATCAATTATAAAATTTCCCACATGCAAAAAGTTTCCAGGCTTCTGTGTGGTGGGAAAAACAAAGCAAATCAACACACACAAATAGTTAGAAGTATGGGGGGGGGAGCAAAAGAATTGCCAGAGGCGGAGAAAAGCAAGCACAGGGGGGGGGGCGTATAAGCAACTTTTGCGGCCTGTCTCTGTCTCTGTCCCTGCTTCAGCCTAAAGCCCTTCTTCCATGGCTGTCATGGTAGCAAGGCTTTTGCCAAAAATTGCAACTGCTTCTGCCCTGTAATCTATGGGGGACAGGGATATACTTTTTTTGTATTTATTATGGCATTTCAAGCTCAAGTTACAGGCAAATATTCCGTGGACACCTTTCAAGAATTTCCTTCTCCTTTGATCTGAGTGTGATTTTCGTTAAGTAACTCTTACAGAGGGGTATCTCATATCCCATATAGCCGCTAGTATATCGGCTATAGTTCTCTTACATGTATTTTATTGTTTACGTTGCTCTTATTGTGGCCCTTCTACGAGTGCGAGTATGGTTGTTGTTGTTTTCTGCTCTGCGGTCTGTTGGCTTGACTTGGCTTTTGGTTTTTGTCTGAGCCTCGTTGAAGCCTGCTGCTCTGGCTTTTGTTTGTCCTTGCCTAATGTTGCTCATCATCTCATTGTTGGCCTTGTTGTTGCTCTGGCTGTTCCGGACTGTACTGAGTCTTATTTATGCGACATTGTTGCTGTTGCTGCAAAGATAATAAGATAAATGTTCTCCAAGGACCGGCCGACATCGCCGTTGCTTATGCGAGAAGGACATTTGCACAAATGTTTTGTGATAATAAATATTACTCTATGCCCCATCAGTGGGACCGCACTCTCTTTCTGGATGGCTTCTGGGCTTCAGGGGGCCAATGTTTAGGGACTGGTCTGTCGGTGCCACACAACAACCAAAAGGGGTGTGGAGGGGGAGCCAAGAGATATTCTAAAAATGTTGCATTTACGAGTATTTTTGTATCATGTCGACCGTCAGTGGTCGTGTGGCTTGGCTCATATTTTATATTTTTGGTAATTGTAATTTATTTTAAATTTAATTTTGATGGTGTCTAACTGATTGAAATTCGAATTACATTTTATGTGTGGTGCGGTTCGGTTTAAGGTGCAAAAATTGACCACTAAATCGTGCTATTTATTGATCGATTTGGCTTGGGCATGGAACCATTATATTCAATGTCTTCTAGATGTCTTCACTACTTTCCGTGTGTGGTGTATGTACATAGCTCCAACTTAGAAGCTTATCTTCTTTATGTTTTTATTCAATTTTAACATGACTTTAAATTTGTTTGGCTCTCTCCTGAAAACTGACGCTTCTTCCGCCTCATCAAACTAAACTTTAAACTTATTATTTTGTAGTTTACCCCACTCCAACTATCTTTTATCCTTGTGTGTTTTTTTTCTTCTTTTTGTTGAGAAGAAAATCAAATTAGGCAAACATTTTTGTGACCAGGCGGGAAAAGCTCTAAAGAGAGAGAGAAATAGATGAAGTAGAGGACTAGTTTCCTAATGAATTTATAAAAACATTTTGGGAACATTTCGTGGTGGCCATAAAAGCGAAAAACGAATTTGCATAATTGACATGTGCAAGCGCTGGGGCCAGTCGAAACCGCATACTTATATTATTTTTACATGAGCTACATTTTTGTCCAACCATTCATAGATATATGTACATATGTACATGTTGGTTAGAAGTATTCAATTTGCGGCAAGCTAATTTTGAGTGGGAAAACGAAAAACTATTCAACTATTTTGCATGCATAAAACAGTTTCCCCACCACCACAAAAGTTGTGCCTTATTCAGGGTTATACTTATTAAACTCTTGAGAGCGGGAGCACACCTAACAAAGAGTTATGCGACTTTGAGTTTAAAGTTCTCTTGGTCATAAATATGCCCATTTCCTTTCTATACTACTTTAAACTGTGTCTGCGACTGTTTTTGTGGCGTAAAGTTTCAGCAGCAAAACATCATTTAAAACGGAGAGAACTTTGCATGAAAGTATCATCTTTATTTGTAATTTATTTGGGTATTCGATAGCTTCTGCTCAAATTTTCTGGCCGGCATTCTCCCTGCAGCATAACCACTTTTATTTTTAAAAATAATAAAGTTTCTTTGTCTCTCATGAAGAATAATTGTTTTGTAAATTTAACTTTATTTTATACAATGAATTTTAGTTGGTCTGTCTGCGAAATGAGCTGCCAACTGAGTTATCCTTTTTGTGAGCAAATGCTTTGCCGTTTTTTCCCTTTCTTTTGATGGAAGGCGAATGTTGTTTTAGTCAGCCTCTCTTTCAGTGCGCTCAGACACCAACACACAAATTGATTAACAAAATGAAGTGGAATGAAAAGGATCGTAAAAGAAAATTTGCCAACATAAACAGGAGGCATAAAGTGTGGAGGATGGTGGGCCATAAAACCAATTGGTCATCCCAGAGACCCCTCCGACTGCCAATGGAGTGCAAAATATACCCAAAAGACGGCCCAGGCGCTCTTCAGGAGAGAGGCCAGTGAAAAATGTACGCCTCACGTGATGGTCGCCAGGCGGACGCAAAAACAAAGAAAAGAAAAGAAAAGAAAACACACTGAGAATATAAATGGGGAAAAGGGAAAATGAAAAACCGTAATCATTTAAATGAAATGCAGAACCAAAAGCACAAGGATCTGAGGGGCAAAAAGGAACCTCTGATTATCTGCAGAGCAGCGGAAAGCAACTGATGAGGAAGTGGCTGTGGGTGTGGGTGGCAGCATCAGTTTCCCCCAAACAATGAAATCAAGCGAGTGAAAAATTACAATTGTCACAACAGCAAATCGGTTTTTCATTGCTCGAGTCGCGCGACTTTTCACGGAGCATTCACGTTGATATGGAAATAATTGCAGGGAAATTTGCACCCAACCAGACAGATCTCCCTGTCCAACTCTGTCCATCTCCCGTCCATCGCCTTTCGAGAATCATTAATCTTTGGACGAGATCTCATTCCAGCTGGCAGTTATTCCACTAAAAAAAATACGTACTCGCCACTTGGCCTGGCCCTGGCCTCTACCCCAGTTTAATGACTTAATTTTCAATTCCATTGGCGGCAGCCAAGACAGGAATGGCATGCAGACCATTGAATATTACCTATGTACGTAAACAAGTTAAAATTGGTAGGTAGGTGACGAAAATATTAGCCAAAACAGATGGTTCCGTGTACCTAGGTATATAGCAATGGCAACAACACTTATTGTGGGTTTAATTTCAGACATAAGGTTTGAAAAAAAAAACCCATTCTCTGCTTTATATCTGCTGTAGCAATAGTCTTTCGAGTGCATGGTATAAAAATGCAAATTTCTCAGCTTGGCATCTCTCTCATTCCTTTCTAGCATTTCTCCTGCCAACCATTTCCCTACCCTGCTGGCTCCCTCATTAGCCATTAGGGCGCCATTATGCGTTGCACGTTTAATTATGGCCAAGCTGTGCAACGTCCACACCCCATGGGGTGTGTGTCTGGAGCTGGACTGGGGGGTGGTCAGAAGTTTAAGAATTCCATTAGATAACAGCTTTGATGACTTTCGAGTGGCCTCCACTTACACCCAAAGCGTTTGTGGTTTAACTTGGATTGCAATCTGCAATCGGAGTCAATGAGTATTGATTGCTGGACGTGGATGTGGATGTGGGTGCTGATTGCATTCATTGATCCATTAACGATGGCATTGTGAGCAGCTTTCCAAGAGATTTTCAAGACTTTAAGTGCATTTGAATTTGATGTACATAAAGTCGCTATTTATTTCTAGATGAGATTGAATTTGCGAAGCTTTATATAGAGCAGTTTAACTGAGATCAATTGATGGATTTCGAATGAAAAAAATGTAGACATCTGACGAATTCTCACTGTCTTTTCTTATTATCGTTAAATCTATAGTAGAAGAGCCTGGCTTAGACGGTAGAGAAATTCAGGGGCTAAAAAGAATCTGAAACAAATGAAATATTCTTACTATTCTCCTCTCAGACATATCCTCTGAAATGCACCTCTTACTTAAAGTTTCCTCAATCTTAGTTAAAAGATTTCGTTCTTAGTGTGCATTTGTTTGATTGCTCCTCGAAACCGCTTCAATTGGCAGTCAATTCCAGAAGACTTCACGAGAGCAAAAACTAATGGGAGATGGTGAAAAAGTTCTCTCTCTATTTCTTTGGCTTATGGCATATTATCCTCGGAGCGTAATTGAAAACACAGAGTTCTGCTGATAAGCTGTCAAGGCAGGGGGAAAGCAAATCCCATACCGTACCCAATAACCAACATAACCGACGGACATTCGAGAGATTCGTGATAAGTTTTTCTGACACGGCCAATCATTTGGCTAGGGTTCCTTTCTACGTGTCTCGCGTTGCAATTTTCAGCTGAGCTCATGTGCAAACGAGCAATTTTCCGCAACCGCAACCACCTCCATAAAGAAAACTCTGCTCCAGTTTGGATCGGGGCTGGGTTTTCTGGCTGTTCAGCTTGCAGCTTGATGATGCTGCTGCTGCCGCTGCTGCTGCTGCCTTTCAATCAATAATTTTGAGCTTCAATTGAATCAAATGCGATTTGTGCATGTCCCAGTCTGACTCGCAACGAGTGCAGCTCCACACCAGACCAGACCAACCCATCCCCAGACCCGATCTGACAAGCTTTGCTTATTAATTTTCCAACCAGAGCCCACCGGGCCGGCACTAATTGGTCTTGACTTGTTACACTTGCAGAAAAAAGAAATGGTGCTAAAAGTGCTTAACCCTTTCCACCAAATGGTTCCAGGATATAAGGGCTTTTCAACCTTTACAACATAAAGAATCAGTTTGAAGAGTTTACAATCACTTACCAAAATATTATCAAAATATTTCCTAGTGTAGAAGATTGCTCGATTCGACTTTCATGAGTCTTCGCTCTTTCCGCTTAAAACTGCATTCAGCAATGCCACAAATTTGCCACAATTCAGGTCTAATTCGTAACGGATTAGATGTGGCCACATCGCTGTTAAATGGCCATAAACGTTCTTCAGTGTTTTCACTATCGTTGAGGGCAATGCAATCGGTTGTGTGGCTCATCCTCGGCATCATCATAGTCTGCCGCTGCTCGAGACACGGATTAAGGGGCCATCGGCCAAGTACATGCAGTGGAAACACGGCTCTGCGATGCATCTACACGAAGGATGAGAAGTTATGTGAGTGCAAGCACTTCGATCTTAGTAAGATAAAGCGTAGCTGCCCACCAGGAATGCTTTACGACTGCAGAGAGAACCAATCTGGCACCGATTGTCGATGCTTTTTCGATGTCTCGCCTTCGTAGGTGAATGGCAACATAAACATATTATTGGCAAATACTTTCATTTCAAATATTAAAAGAATTATATAATAAGACAGTTTGAAGAAATAGTTTGCTAATACCTCCCTAACAGCATACTCTCAGCAATTGTCTTAATTTAGTTGCACATTCGCAGGCTTTAAGAAGGTTTTAATTGATTTATTTTTGCACATAAATTGAATTATCAGTCACTTCTTCTCTTTAGCCTCTCTGGGGGTCTTTAGTCCCCTGCCATCGCCACTCATGCATCTCGCAAAAGGTTAAAGTTAAGCTCACATTTCGCATACGCCGCGTTGGCGGGTGTTGACAAAAGATGTGGAAAGCTATAGGTTATATGTATGCAGAAGTATACATATGTGCATATGTGGGTGGGAAACTCTCTGGGTGGATGTTTGTGGATGTCTGTGCATGTGTGTGTTATTGTTATTGCTTGCGATGCGGTTCATTTGGTTAATGCATCTCATCTGGGTCGGGCCTATTATTCACGGTCTGCATTGTATAATGACAATTTCCATAAACGAGAGTGTGCAAGCGGGTGAGCGCATGTGTGCACCCATTGTTGGCCTGAAGGCTTTGTCTCTATCTTCTCAAGCATTCGAAAATGCTTCCGATATCAGGCAGCCACCTGGAATACAAACCATATTTGAGCACTGCACTCCCACAAACCGCTTCACATAGTAGCTGCAAGAGCAGGATTTTCTAGATGGCAGTTAAAAGGCCAGTTTTAACAGCTTCTAGCTTGGATGTGAGTGATCGATAATGTTTAGGAATTATGCCAGATCAAAGTGGATTGCCATATGCCAATTCATAGATTTGCTTTGTGTTTGAAATTTCATTAAATTTCAAGGTTTACTCTTAATTTACTCTTAAGCTTTTCTGTGTCATCAATGGGATGGTTTGGTGCTCCTGCCTGGTCATCTACTATGACACGCTTCCGCCTGTCTTCATCCGCAAGCTCCTCTCCTTGCGCTTTCTCCTAATCCCCAAATCGCTCGCTCGTCCAGTTATTTCGCCGCAAGTGAAACGTAATTCCCCACGTAGCATTCCCAATTCGAGATATGGCACTTATGCGAGTCTTCATCCGTTTAGAATTTGTATTCATTGTTTTGGCTTATCATACCATTGTAGAGGTTTCCTTTTTATGTCGTTCGCATGACCTGCATGGGAAAAGGAAAGGAAAAGTCTGATAAGTGTAGAAAAGCTTTTGGCATGCAGTGAGGCGTTATTTGGGCTGCGTTAATGAAATTTGTGTGAATGTTGGTTCTTGCTTTTTCTGCCGTGGGAGAAAATTGCACTTTCAATAAATAAAAGCAGCGTCATGGCCGAGTGCTCGAGCATAATAACGCGTTAAAAAATTACAATAATTTTTAATTAACATCGCTGGCTGGGGAGTCTTGGCCAGGTACGAGTGAGTGCGAGAAAGAGAGAGAGAGAGAGAGCAGCAAATGCAGCGAGCGAGACAGAGCCATTTATAAATAATTGCGCATTATGCAAATGCAGCGCCTTAAAAGAAACAACGAGGGCAGGGCCAGAGCCAGAGCCAGAGCCCGAGCCAGTCCAAAGAATCCTGACGAGGCGGAAAATGGGAAGCCAGCAAAGGAAAGGCCATGCAAAAAACAACAAATGTGGAAAAAATCCAATTAAACTAAATACGCAGCAACGTAATGTGTACACACACTCAGGAACAAACATACATACTTATAGTAGGTAAACACGCACCACATTTTTTGTTCAGTTGAGGCAGTTCTGAGTTCTTGTGAAGTTATTTAACGCGTCCGATCCACACATTACCAACGTAAGGAAAAAATGTGTCTTTGTTTACGTTCTTCTTCTTCTGACGTGCTCTTATCGATACATCAGCTATCGATAAGAGCCGAAAGCAATGGCACGTTCCAGGCACGAGTTCATTGGATCGTTCTTTTTTCACGATCCAATACTCAA